GTCCTGTGCTGATGCCCTCACCTTTGGCTTGGGTGCTGCCTTTGATTTTGCTGTTGGAGCAGTTGCTCGATGCTTTGCCTTGGCTTTTGCAGCAGTTTTCCTGTTGGTTTCATGTGGTGCTGTGTTCTTGGTTGGCACTCCCTCCTCAACAGGTTCAAGTACACGCTTGCTCTGGATGGTCCTGCTGAGCTTGGGTGCAGATGTCTCTGGTGATGCTCGTGCTTCTCGCGGTGGTGGTGTTGTTGTTTGGGCAGTGCTCTTCGCTGCAGCTGCCTTTGCTGCAGCTGCCTTTGCTGCAATTGCCTTTGCTGCTGCTACCCCTGCAGCCGCATTACGCTTGGCTTCTGGTGTTGACGCAGGAATCGTGCTCTCCAAGCTCACTCCTCCATGCACCCGAGAGGGAATTACATATAGAATAAATCGATTGAACAATTGGACTGTTTCACTCAAGGACGACGCACATGCATTAAAAGCAGCACCCCCATCAAAAACACATGCACTCCCCATAATAGCACTCCTCTTCGTATCTCAGTTGTTTTCATAGGGCGCAAACGCTTGAACTGTCGCTCCGCCTTTTTCCTGACAAGTGTAGTTAACTATACATGAGCTGAGTACATAAAGTTGGAATGACATAGAAGAAGGATTGCGATCTAGAGGTCACATAGCCCAGTGATAAAAAAACACATCAGGAATTGTGTTCAGAGGCCCCCACCTGTTTGCCTCCTCCTCTTCATGAACATTTGCATCCACTTGTGGTTCCCCAGCCCCATCAAGCTCTGCCACACGTTTCGCGCGTTCAGCCGCCCGTTGTAGAGCGGATTGAACGCCCTCCTTCATGAACTCCTGTACTGGCTACTATATAGATTGCATCGACCAGTGATTTGAGCCCTTGCACGAATAAGGACATGGATAGAACATGGTAGGTCTGTGTTCCTAAGCAATCTTCTAATGAGTGCAGAAACATGTCTTTGCAAGTGGGCGTCCTTGGGCGTGAACAATTCTCACCTCCAAACAAATCAAAACATATTCAACAGCTCAAAAAATCACAAAAAATGTATGAAAAATGGTGATTTTTGGGTCAAATGTCGTTCACGGTTAAAAATGGTCGTTCACGGCTAAAAATAGTCGTTCACGCTCCATTCACGCCCATTCACGCTCCATTCACGCTTTGAAGATCCTGATGCTGACGCAGGCCTTCTTTTCCTGGGTTCCAGCTTGGGCTTTGCTTCTGGCTGCACCCTCTTCTTCGGAGCGTTCTTGCTCAGTTCAACGGCCTTGCTTTCCTCCTCAAAATCAATGGTTCGAGCAACAGGCTTGGCAGCTTCCTTAGGCACAGCACCTTTGCTGCGCTTCCTTGGGCTCCATGCCAAATTGATGCGCGTCCGCTTTGCTGCCCTTGCACTCGTCTTGCCCTCCACCTCCTTCTTTTCTTGCGGATCCACCATCTCCTCTTCCTCAGCTTCAACTTCCTTTTGGTCTTCCTCAGCTTCCACATCATTCTCCTTGCTACCTGACGACTTTGCCCTCCCTTTCGCCTTTGCCTTTGCTTTCGATTTCTGCTTTGGCTGCGCCTTTGCCTTTGCAGCCCTTCCTCTGCCTTTCCCTTTGCCCTTTCTTCCTTTCCGGGTCTTCCCCTCATCAGACTCCTCTTCTTCACGTAGGGCTCGATCGTTGTCTTCACGGTCATCTTCATCCTGATCATCGAGCTCCCTGGCTGCTTGGCGCATACGCTTCTGGGCCTTCAGGCACGGCAGGAATCAAACAATGTTTTGTTAAGAATATTAATAAAAAGCCAATGACTAACGTTGACTGACCAAAAAACATTTGGGATGATAAATCAACATGATGAGGCCTTAAGGATATCCTCCTCTGGAATAGTCCCGCGGAGCTCCCTCATGATGTCACAGCACCGCTCCAAAAGCGAAGACTTGTACATAGGCTCTGTAGTCAGTGGCTTCTGGTCCTGACAAATGAGATATGAGATATAGATGATAATAATGTTCATTTGGCAAGTTTTTTCAGCAATGCGCCTTAAAGGTCCCTTTGGCTGTCATGTCGGCCCTTTCATCCTCTGAAAGAATGATCTCAACGTCAGAAGCTTCTTTATCTTCTTCAGCCTCAGCCTCAGTTGGTTCTGCTGCTGCCTTCTTCTGCTGAAGAAGCATGGTCTTGGCCTGATGTTGCATCAAACCCTCCAATGCCCGGGTGCTGAAACTTTGGCCACCAGCAGGACCCTTTGCCTCCATCTCAGGCTTGGTTGAATCTTCGGAACCAGTGCCTGGAACCCCACCAGGCACTTCACCAGGTTCAGGTTCATCCATCTTCACTTCACTAACCTCTTCCACTTCAATCCCTTCGGCATCCTCTTCCTTCTCTTCCACTGCTTTGGAATCTGGGATC